GGAGCCGAGTGGTCCAGGGGAGAAGAGAGAGATGGGATAGGAGGGTCGTGGGAATCAGCAAGGAGAGGTTTCCTTCCAGCCACAGTGCAGTGAGAGGCCACTGAATGTATTTCGGCAGGACAATGACCTTTTATAAAGATCTCACTGACTGATCTAATTCAAGCTGGTTTCATGACACCCAAATGGTTGTTGGGTTTATAATTCAGATCTCAGGTAACCTTTAGAAATATTTCATTCCACGATCTCCATGAATGGTTACCTCTTTTTTTGCCCGTGCTTAAGGAAAAATAAAATATCGATTTTATTTCAAGGTGGTGCTCTCCACTGAACTAAGCATTCCCGATAGGCTCAACTGAGCCACCAACATCACCGAGAGGCACCCTTCACGAACACCTGCTCTCACCTCAGCTTCAGAGCGACTGTGAATATGTTTCCTCCTTCCTCTTTCCTGAGACACCTGCCAATCACGTTCTTGGTGGTCTTCCCCTTGGTGGGCGTGACCACCAGCCCCTTTCCCATGGTGGAGGTGCACAGACCTCTGCCTTAGGACTCTGTTCTCCACTCCCCCCACCCCCGACATACCTTTCAGAGGAGCTCTTAAGGTTACCTATCTCCTGACATAGAATTTTAGTTTTCTCTGTAACTCATTTTGTTTCTTTGATAAATTCAGCTCTTTTTCTTTGCCTGGCCTTCTATGCAGTTGAATCACATGGATAATCCTGTCAACTTCATATCCCTATTGCTCAACTTGGAGCCATTCCTTGAAAACACTCACCCAAGATACTGTATTTCTACCAAAATATGTGTTACAGTAACTAAGCACTTGTAAAGAACAATGACCGCTAAATAAAGTTGTTATTTAAAAACACACACACACACATTTTAATTCATAATAGGACAGTGCTCATTGAAAGTGCAAATCAAAGTGTTTTATGGTAGTATAAATAGAATTTGTATAAATTCTGAGATTGGCCATTTCCACTAATTGCCTTTACAGGCATGAATAATTATTCCCTTTCAGTGATTAATTTTGTTGTGTGTTAATGTGATAATTTGTAATGGGTATTCAGCCACATTAATCACTTCATTCATCTAATGAATAAGTGAGATTTTGCTGGGTATAACATTTTGACATCTTATAAAATTTATCTTGAGCACCACTAGGTAATGTAGTTTCCACGTGATTCACCTACCTGTCCAGCAGTTAGTTTGGTGTCTCCAATGATCACTTTAATGGATGTACTTTTACCAGCTCCATTGTGTCCTAGTAATCCTAAAACCTCACCTGGAAAAAGAAAAAGGTCACATTTAGTACAAATTGATTTTAATAATAAAATTAAGAATAAAACATAGTCTGAAGTCTCACTGTGACAAGTGTTCTATGTGATTTGTAGGCAGTATCTCTTTCAATTGTCATACCCTCCCCCTGCCCCAGAGGTAATCATAACCCTTTCTTACATATTTTGGAACAAAAGCTCTTAGGGATGAGGTTAGTTGCCCAAAGTCACACTGATGGGAAGTGACAAAGTCACTCTTGGAGGCTAGGTGTATGAGACCACACATCTCCTGTGATCCTAAGAACTGTGCAATAATGTCACAAAATGAAGTCAAGTGCCATCTGCCGGTCAAGCCTTCAGAACATGCTGGCACATTCTTTTTGTTTTCTTGTGAAAAATAATGAACGTTAGGAAATTAATCGTGTACATTACAGAGAAATGCACATTTTTGGGGTTTCAATGGTTTATTTCAACAGAGTGTTGGTGGTTTCCATGTCGATGTGAGTAACCCCTATCCATGGGCATGACTTAGTTAATTTCTCTAGGAATGAGCCATGTAAAAGGAGCTGTCAAGGTCACCCCGCTGATGGGTCTGTGTGCAAACCAAGAGGTGGTCACAGAATGATTCTCATCAGGAACCACAAAGCGCGAAGGAGGGCTCCGAGCCAGCATTGGGAGAGCCTCCGTGTCCAACCTTTTCTGACGCAGAAAGAGACATTCCTTGTGGCGATTTTCTTCTTCTTCTTGGAAAAGCAGTGTTTCCTCTTCACTGTGTACTCCTTGCGTAGACAGCTGGCAATAATGGCTGGTTTCTGTAAATGACAAGTACATCATGTCAGACCTTAAGACTCTTTATTGACCTCGAACAAGCTTTAGCCTCCCACTGGGATAGCCCCTGACTGCACAAGCCATGCCTCCAAGAAGACTTCCTACTAGACGACAGGTTTATGGGCCATTCTCCTATCTTAGCACTTATGTTTCCCTCTCCTACAAGGGCACTCATGCAGGAACACATTATTTTATGCAGCCAGCCCTTCTCTCAGAACAGAAGCAAAGAGACTTGGAGAAGCACCAAATCACCCTCCAAGGACAAACAACACACTGTGGACTAGACTTTGCCCTGCATTTTGTAGAGTGTCCTTTCTCCAAGAAGCAGTGATTGGGGCCACTCTGCTCAGTTTCTAAAATTCACAAATTCTTTCTTGGCTTCAGAAATTTCAATTTCACTCCATTTTTAAAATTTATTTTCTATGAAAGACAAAGTGAGTTAAAATGACTTTTTAATCTGTGCTCATTTAGATGTAAAAATAATGACTACCTGCTAAAATAAAGTTATGATCCTCATTTGTATGAATTAAAGAAATGTAAAATCATTTGAGAATTAGATGCTTTCTGATTTTATTAATTTGTGTTAGTTGTTGAAATAACTACTTTGTATGTTTTTACCTCACCAAAGTTTGTGGAATTCAAGGCATTTGCTGTTCTCACTCTTTCCATCTCAACATCTTCATCCTCCCTCTCGGGCTCCTCTGGATTTTGGTGAACATCACTGCTTCTTGGAGAAATTCTGCAGTCAAACCATCCATTCATAATTGATTTCGGTTTTTTATCCTCATATCAAAAACACTGCATTCTTTAAATCTTATACTCGAGTAGACTGGATGATTAATAACCCATCATAATCTCTCTTCAATCCAGTGAAATCTCCACCCCCTGTCCAAATGCAAATAGCATGCTTGATCTCCTATTAAGGTTAGGCATTTCTTTGGAATATGTGTCAGATTGACTAATTTTCCTCCATTCTAACTCCGTCCCTCATACTCTCTTCCTTCTAGTCTCTCCTCCTTCAACCTAAATCTCCCATACTATTCTTAGAAGACTTCTTAAAAGTCTTCTTGTATCTTGGAAGTCTCCCATGCAACTATCTGTAAGAGTTATCAATGAAACTGATGGGGAATAAGATGCTTATGGTTGCATCATTGAATGATGGGAACAGTCTCGGCTTTGAAGTGCCATGAATAACTGAACCAGTCTATGGTCCACCAGTTGGACTTCTCACTACCATAGGAGAAGAGCTACTTCTGTCTTTGACCTATTGATCATTCTATTCTTCCGTTCTGGACTGACAGCATTCCGTCGTCACTGTCAATCTATTCACATTAAGTGCTATTTAAACTGAATGAGCCAGATAACTTTCCCTAGTGTTCCACTGCACAGTGTCAGACAGAGTCTTTAATATTCAATGTTTTAGGTCTGTTTGCTCCACTATTTGTAATCTTTGATTTAGGTCTCTATATCTCTATTATTTGTATTGACACATGGTTCCTACCACAGCCCATTCTAGTTCTTAGCATTTCTTTGTTAATGGATTAATTTGTGCATCAAATATTTTAAAACAGTGATCACTGAAATAAAAGAATCAAATTTCATTTCTCCAGACCGAAATAAAGGATCCTTTCTCATTGATATCTTTCCAAACTTCCATTCCAGACATCGAAGAATAAAAATCAAGACAATAAGTTGCAAGAAAGGCTAGGAATAAAGAGATGCATAATTAAAAACACTAAAAAAATCATTTTACATTAAAAGTGAGTTAGGAATAATTGGACTTCTACAAAGATGCATTTGGCAAAAACATTACCAATTTCCAATCATCTATTTGTCAAACTTTGAAACTAGCAAATTCACTTTCAATCTTGTCTACAGAAACATAAGAAACAAATATAATTGTGTGATACCATTATTTTAAATAAGTTTCTCTAATAGTTAAACAGTGTACTTAAAAATTGGGACGCATATTATCTCGCTAGTTGATTTTTATAAAAAATATTCTATTTTTACAAGTATTTTATCTCTATGGGCTACAAATACCTATATATCCACACTAATAAAAAGTTCTGCTATGTTTACAGGATTAAAATAGTTTAGTTAGTAAAATACATGATAAATTTTAAAGAAGAATATGTTCTTACAATTAGGAATAGCAGAACGAGCTCTCCACCAATTGAAAAAAGCATCCCAGGCTGCAAAAAGAAATACAATGGTTAAAGAAGAAAATTTTCATTTTGTGGGTTTTTGCCATAATAATGTGAGTTCGCCCTTTGAACAATCCTACTGGCATACCCCCTGAAGAGTACTGGCTAAGGGTCCATTCCACAATGTGTAGTGAGGAGCTGTCTTCCTTCCTCCCAAGGTTTATGAGCCATTGTGCTTTTATTTGAAGCAATAGGATTTAGCAATTATTCATCACCTGGTGAGAGAATCTTGGGGTCTGTTGTGCTAGCCTCCCCAAACATTGAGAGAGAGGCAAGATTTAACCTTTATCACACAGTCCTTCACACACCCGCTGGTGCTCACTGCCCCTTTCATAAGTCTCCTTTCTTTCCTTTCTCTTCCCCATGGATATCTCTTAACTCACATACTGTACCTTCCTTCCATAGGTAGAAGTATAGGTATCAGTCAGCTAGAAAAAAAAGGATTGAGAGCTTCTCTAGAATCCTGAAATCCCTAAGATTAGAGACATTTCATTTGCCTCCTTCTAGAGCTGAGCATGCCCAAGAGTCTATAGAGCCCAGATTGAGTATAAAGGCTGCTTTATTTCTCCCCACCCATTATTCTTCCTCCCCACCCATCAACTAGGGTCAACTATTCTATTACAGTTCAGTTGGAGCATATTGTCCTATCTGGAGAGAGATTCAGCTGGAAGCATGAAGTAGAAATCTTCAAATGTCACACATACTGAACATGTTGCAGAGTCCCAGCCCTAAGCAAAGCTTTCACCATTGGTTGTGAGTTCCAGGACACTGGAGCAGATGGTGGCATTACTTACATAAAAAGGTAAGATCATACAGCAAACTAATGCGGTGTGTGGCATTATAAAGTTGATGAGAGATAGTAAAATGTTTCCAGACCTTCCCACCAGAAATATGACCATACCGAAAAGGGTGATCTAAAAAGAAAAACAAAGCATATTAACCACTCTGAACAATCAATAGATGCTCCAAATTAATATGGCTCATCTTGGAGATATTCCTAACTTCCACTCCAACCTCGAAAACCAAGCTGAAATCAGCGGAACTGCATTGATACTTTCTCTTGATGACTTAGCCACATTCCTTTGGCCCGGAGGATCATGAATGAGACCTCACTAGATAAAGCTAGGATCTAATATAGAGAGCATTTTAAATATAGAAAAGAAAAAAAAGGTAGTGATATTATTTTTTGAGGTAAAATTTAGAATGGTATGTAAGCAATAATCATAGGTAAAAATTTAAATTGAATTTTAATAGGATTGCCCAGCCACTGTAGCTCACTGGTTGAGCATCTGAACTATGAACTAGGACAGTGATGGCGAACCTATGCCACACGTTTCAGAGGTGACACACGAACTCTTCTTTGTTTGATTTTTCCTTGTTAAATGGCATTTAAATATATAAAATAAATATCAAAAATATAAATCTTTGTTTTACTATTGTTGGACATATCAAAAAATTTCTATATGTGACACAACACCAGAGTTAAGTTAGGGTTTTTCAAAATGCTGACACGCCTAGCTCAAAAGGTTTGCCATCACTGAACTAGGAGGTCACGGTTCAATTCCCATTCTGGGCCCGTGCCCAGGTTGATGGCTTGATCCCCAGTTTGGGGTGTGCAGGAGGCAGTCAATCAATGGTTCTCTCTCATCATTGATGTTTCTAAATCTCTCTCTCCTATCTCTTCCTCTCTGAAAGCAATAAAAACATATATTTAAAAAAAGATATCTAATAGGAATAAAGCAACAATAAAAGGATACATGTTAACTATACCAATGGAAAAATATAAGCATTTAAAAACCTGGAGTGGCTTAGTACTAGTACTAAAATATAAAATTCAGGAGAAGAGAAAGTTATAAGTACATCTGCCCCTCTCACACATTTTCTTCTCAACTACTGTAATGCCTTGCTAAAAGTTTCTGTACTTCTAATTTCTCTCTGTTACAAACCATCACTTCTATGGCTTCCAGAATATTCTTCCTAAAAGTGTGTCTGTGGTCATATTTCTTTTCTGAATTATTAGCTTCCATGAGAGTGAGTGAGAGAGGGAAACATCAATTTGTTGTTCCACCCATTCATTGGTTGATTTTTGTATGTGTCCTGACTGGGTATCAAACTCACAACCTGGGCATATTGGATGATGCTCTAACCAACAGAGCTACCTGGCTAGGGCTGTAGAATAAATTCTTGAGCCAATCATTTAAGGCCAGTCATGATTCCAACCATTATGTTCACCATGACTAGGACCATGCTCAGGCTGTAGCCAGTTTTCTACCCATATTCATATCAGATTATTACCAGTAGTTAGGACATTTTCCTAGTCTGGACACTCTCCCCTTTGGATTTTGGTTCGTCCACTCTTTTCTATTTGCATCACCATTCTTCTCCAAATGTTGAAATCTTATTCTTCCTCATGTTTCACTCCTTGAAGGAAACCTCTGCCCTCATTTTTATGAATGACTCTGTCCCTTTTCTGGTTTTCATAGACCTCTTTATTACTCAGTTGTGTTAGATTTTATTTATTTATTTTTAAAATATATTTTTATTGATCAGAGAGAAAGGGACAGGGGGACAGAGATAGAAACATCAAGGGTGAGAGAGAATCTTTGATTGGCTGCCTCCTGCACATCCCCTCTGAGAATAAAGCCCACAACCGGGGCATGTGCCCTTGACCAGAATCAACCCCAGGACCCTTTAGTCTACAGGCCGATGCTCTATTCACTGAGCCAAACCAGATAGGGTGGTTGTGTTAGACTTTTAAAGATGGATGGTATCTTGGTAACTTTTGCCTTATCACTGATTTAGGAAATGGCTGTTTACTCATCTATTTAACATTGAGCACTCTTTCAGTTTTAAAACTGTCGACGACCAAGAGGAGCCACCACAGCTGTGAACAGCACCCACCAGAGGAGCTGCTGCCAACTGAGGAGCAGCTGCTACCACAACCGCCCAAGGAGCAACCACAGCCCGAGGAG